TTCCATATGTATTTTTATAATTTATTGTGAAGAGAGCTAATTTTAAGGCAGGACGTGGTTGTTGGATGTGAAATTCATTTTGTATTAAGGAGGCATATATTTCCCCCTTTTTTATTTTATGTATTTGTAATTTGAGAGTGAAATGTGCTCTTTCAACAATAGCTTGTCCCTGTGGATTCTATGGAATACCAGTAATTAATTTTATTCCGCAGTTTTGAAGGAATGATTTAAATCTTGGGCTACTGTAAGCAGGACTATTGTCAGTTTTTATTTTGTTCGGAATTCCCATTACTGCAAAACATTCTATTAAGTGAGTAATAACATCAGTAACCTTTTCACCAGTTAATGCAGAGGCCCATAGAAAATGTGAAAAGGTATCAATACAGACATGTACAAAAGCAAAACGTCCAAACTCGGGGACATGTGTTACACCCATTTGTCACAGTTGATTAGGTAATAAACCTCTAGGATTGGCGCCTGTATGATTTTGTTTCAAATGTAAAGGTCTACAAATAGAACAAGTTCGAACTATATTTTGAGCCTGTTTTAGAGGTATCCGATACTGTGCATGCAAGCCTTGAGCATTAGTATGCCATTTTTTATGATCTTGTAAAGCTGTGATTCCTACCAGCAATTTGTCAGCCATATGGTTTCCTTTAACCAATGGTCCAGGCAAGTTAGAATGGGCTTGTATGTGAGTAATATAAAGAGGATGATTGCGTTGTTGTAAATTGATTTGAAGTTCCTGAAATAATGAAAGTAAAGGTTTTTTAACATTAGATATAAGAGCTGTCTCTATAACCTGAGTAACGTACATGGAGTAAGCTGAATTGGAGACAATATTAATAGGTCCTGGAAAGTCTCGAACAACCTGTACAATGGCCATGAGTTCATTTTGCTGAGCAGAACGGTATGGGGTTTGTATTATTTTATATTTTTGAGATGTCCAATAAGAGGTCTTTTGAGTTTTTGATGTGTCTACAAAGACAGTTAGGGCCCCTTTTAGAGGCTCAGTCTTAACAATTTGGGAAATAACTCAATTTGTCCTCTTAAGAAAGTCCCAAAATTTTCCAGGAGGTGTTTGGAATTTAATTTGACCAAAAAAATAAGTTAATGCAATTTGAATGTCTAAATCGTTATGAAAGGCATTATTAAGCTGTTGTAAAGTAATAGGAAAATATAGCACAGCAGGGTCGCGACCAGCAAGGTGCTGAATTCTGTGTCGTACCTTTCGTAAGATGAGGCCTAACAAAGTTATATAAGGAGTTAATGTTTTTGACATTTGATGTTTAAGATGGATCCATTCTAAGGGCCCTTGGTCTTGAAAGAAAATTGCAGTAGGCACCATTTGTGTATTTAGTATTAATACTTGCAAAGGTTGGGTCAAATCAATATAGGTAACAAAAAAGGATTTTATCTTTTGTTGGACTAAATCTAATTCCTGCTTAGCTTCTTGAGTTAAACATCTGGGACTTTGGAGATCAGAATCTCCCTGCAATGTGTGAAAAAGATGTGTCAGTTCATAAGTAGCAATTCCTAACACAGGTCTGACCCAATTCATGTCTCCTAGTAATTTTTGAAAGTCTTTTAAGGTTTTTAATGAATCCTGTCTAATTTGTGTTATTTGTGGTTTAATTTTTTGTTGTTCAAGAAGATAACCAGGTAAGAGTAAGGAAAAGTTTCTTGAATTTTATCTGGGGCTATACAGAGTCCATTTTTAGTCAGCAATGGAGTAATTGTTTGTTTTATTAATTTTAAAGTTTCTATTAATGGATGGGCTAGTAAAATATCATCCATGTAGTGACTAATATAAGCATCTGGAAAAGCAAGACGAAGTGGTTGAATAGCTTGAGCAACAACGGCCTGGGCATATAGTAGGGGAGTTCATCATCCCTTGGGGGAGAACTTTCCATTGGAAGCGTTCATTTGGAGAAATATTATTAATAGAAGGTAAGGAAAAGGCAAATTTTTCTCAATCATTTTTGGCTAAGGGGATTGTAAAAAAGCAATCTTTTAAGTCTATAATTAATATATGCCAATCTTTTGGAATCATCGTAGGAGAGGGCAAACCAGGCTGCGAAGGCCCCATAGGAATCATGATTTCATTAATTTTTCTTAAATCAGTAGGCAGTCGCCATTTTCCAGATTTTTTTTATTACAAATATAGGAGAATTATAGGGAGAAGTAGATGGTTCAGTATGTCCTAAAGCCAGTTGTTCTTGAATCAAAGTTTTAGCAGCTTGCAATTTTTTGT